CACACACACACACACAGGATCATACAGGAAATGCCACAAGTCACAAAGGAACTTAGTGTCTGTGCAGTAGTATGGATGGTAGGCTAGAGGGACTGTAAAGCATGGTGAAATTGATTCGATTCGAGTGGTATGGGTCACTAACCACAATACCCATCCTCTTTCCCACTCTCTTTTTCTTTCCACTTTTTCCTCCTCCATTTTCCACCCCTCCCTCTGCAGAGTGAGGAAAGCCCCAGTCCAAAGCGCCAGAGGCTGTCCAGTCAGTCTGTCTTGGAACAGCTAACCTCATCCGCCCCCCCACCGTCCACCCCATCTCCCCCCATCCGGCCCTGGGAGTCAGCACCCCCAAGTCGGAGACAACCTCACCCCCACACACACTACCACCAGGAGAGATGCCTCACTCCTGCTCGGCACAGACGCAGGTGACGTGTTTTCTTGATTCCTACGACCAAGTTTCACTGTGATAAGTTAAATGAGGGTCCCAAATGTAAAACTTTCCCTCTCTTCCCTCTCTTTCCACCTGTAGCCCGCCAGCAAGGCGACAGCGCGGCCGTCTCTCCAGACCCACCCGTCACTTGCCTCCCCATCACCACCCCACCAGCCAAGGTCCCACACCTCGCCTGTCGCCATCCGAGCTCCAGGATGAAAACTACCACCGCAACCTCCATGCCTCCACACACCAGACATACCCAACGCACACACCCAGCGCCTATGGTCAGCCTCCCACAGCTGGGGGAGGGGGGGCAGGTTTGGAGGAGCCCCGAGCTTTCCACCCCCCCACCTTGTCGCCACGACTATTGCACCCGGACTGCACCACCACCACCACCATCACCATCATCATCAGCAGCAGCATCATGCGACGCAACAGCAGCAAGGAGCCATGGTCATGGACTTGCATGAACAGGTTGGTCTGCCAATACTTTCAGTTTACATGTGAGGCCACTAGGAGACATTGCGTGTGTGTGTGAGAGAGTGCATATAAACTGAACTATGTTTTCTCCCCAGCTGCAGCAAGCCAGTGTACCAGTCTCATACACAGTGACCCCAGTCCCTCCACACGGTCTCGCAGCACCTTTGTGTAGCAGCCAGCACCTACCCCCTACCTGTTCTTCACAACAACAAGTCCCCGCCTGCAGCGTGGTCTTCAGCACTGGACAACACTACCACCCGGTGAGACGAACACAGCAGTGTACAGTTTGTAGGAGTGTGTGTGGGTTTGTTTGTTAATGAGAGAAGTACACTTTGTGCTGTTCAGCCTCTCGAATGGCTCAACCTAAGAAAAAGCAGAGTACTCAAAAAGAAAATGGGTAAAAAGTAGCAAAGACCCTGCAGATCGTTTTCCTGTTTGATGGAGATTTTTAATCTTCCTAGTATTGGCTGCCACCTTGTGGCAAGACTTGGCTCATTGCAATCAGCACAGAGAAAACTTGCATTTAAAACATTTCTCACTTCTTGTTCACCCTTTGCCAGATGCTACAGGCATGTTCAATGCAACATCTGCCAGTGCCCTATGCCTTCCCCTCGCTGCTGTCCAGTGACCCTCAGTTCCTGCTTCCCCATCCACCCCACCTCTCTCATCACCCAGCCCACCTCCCCACACCAGGACAGTTCCTGCCTTTCCAGACACAACAGCCACGATCGGTATGTCAATGATTTCTGTTTTTATAGTTCATCTGGTATTTATCCTCATTAACTTGCATCCATACAAGAATTTTGGTATGCCTAAAAGAAGCCATTAATGTTTGACAAGTTGTAGTAAGTTTAGCAGTAGTTTTATGTAGACTTAAATAATAAACAGTTAATAAAACTGTTTCCTAGTCAGACAATAGACGGGTGTCTACTTGCATAAGATGTCTAAGGGGTAAACTTGGTCACGCAATAGGTAGACAAATAGTAATGACCAAAAATGAGTACCTGTGTACATCTACACTGCACTAAGTTATAGAGTAATGTGTTTATTCTCTCTAAGGTTTTGTTTTTGTTATTATACATTGTTAATCAATGCAATTACTTTCATTCCATCATTAAGCCATTTCAAAAATGAAGACACCAAACTCAGATGTCACTATAGTGTCCTATAAAATGACTTGCCATCTTTGGCCCAGTTAGTGTCCCACCCTAACACCTGTTATGCATTTGTCACATTCTGTAACCAAGTGTGTTTCTTCTCAGCCCTTACAGAGGATTGAAAATGAGGTTGACATTCTGGGAGAGCAGCTTTCAGTTGGTGGGGGCTTCAGCTACGCCCACCATCACCACCACCATCACCACCAGCCTCCCTCCACCCTGCCGCCATCCACACCACTCCAGTTCCTCTCTCACCATGACCCCCTGTCGCAGGAGCTTTTTACAGTGGTAAATTACATAACATCTTCATTATGTGTTTAATTATAATATACCATTTTTAAGATAATGCTTTTATTCTTGGTAGAAACATTGATTTTCTCTCTCCTATCTCTCACAGCCCTATCCCCACTTTATGCCTCGCCGATTCACAAGCCGGCGGTACCGCTCTCAGCAGGCTGTACCCCCATCCCCCTACCACCCCAGCTTCCTGCCTTACTTCCTGTAAGTGTTTTCACTTCTTTGAGTTGATGTTGGAATTGTACAGGTGAATTTGCCACAGATTTCAGTGTGCCTCAGAGACATAACAAATACAGTCTACTAAACCTTCTGTGCTTTGTCTTCAACCACCTACAGGTCTATGCTTCCTGTGCCCCCAAATGTGGCCCCCACTATCAGTCTAGAGCTGGATGTAGACGATGGAGAGGTGGAGAACTATGAGGTAGGATCAACTGCCGCCTTCAACATTCAGCCAAGAATAATGTTATCCCATGATACACAGTAGGATTTAATTTAGATGTCCTGTCTGCATTGTCCTCTAAACTTTGCCTTTCTGTGTGAATCCTTCAGGCCCTGTTGAACCTTGCAGAACGTCTAGGAGAGGCCAAGCCCCGTGGTCTAACTAAAGCAGATATAGAACAGCTTCCATCATACAGGTTCAACCCCAACAACCACCAGTCTGAGCAAACACTGTGAGTATCATTCTGCTCTTATAAATCTAGGTGTTGTGAGGAATTTGCCTTGTGGGTGAATGTAGGTTTGAGGCGGTATGAGTTTGTACAAGATTCTGTTTTAAATGGCACCCACTTTGCTTTGTCTTACAGGTGTGTGGTGTGTATGTGTGACTTCGAGTCCCGCCAGCTCCTGAGGGTCTTGCCCTGTAATCACGAGTTCCATGCCAAGTGTGTAGACAAGTGGCTTAAGGTGAGTAAAGACATTCAGCTCTTTGACTAAATGTAAATTCATCAACTGTTTTCCACTAAGACTGGTCAAGCATAGTGACAATAGTTAGACTATTTTGTGAAGTACTGTTGATGAGCAAACAGCTAACACACTAGCCAGCCGGGAACATGTTAGCACTAATCCGCCACAATTTTGGGAGAAAAAAATATCTGTGCTAATGAGCTTCCTAACTGACAGCTCGCTAACAGGACAATAACTTCACACAATTTTTTCAAAAGATGTATTTATACAATTGACTCCTGTCTCTGTCCAAACTATTCTTCTTTTGTGGAGTAGTTTTCACTCTGATGTGTTATATAATCTGTGATAGCTCCCTCTGTTTTCAACTCCCCAGCCTGTAAAAGGTCAGCACTGTCAAGATTGCTATTGGTAAACAGTATAGTTATATATTAGTTTGCTGTTGGTCAACGTTGTGAAATTTGCATTTCAAAGTTCACAAAATTGGAAGTTTAAATTTGTGCGTATTTAATCCCGATTGCTGCGATTCCATTGCAATTAATGGATTTTCCACAAAATGTCACTATTTTAAATGCTGGTGTGACCTGACCTTTAATTGTTTGAGTGTATGCATATATTGATCTTTTAGTATATATTTCCCCTGTTAACCCTCATCATCTTGTTTTTCATTTCTTCCAGGCTAACAGAACCTGTCCCATCTGTCGAGCTGATGCTTCTGAGGTCCAGCGGGATTCTGAGTGACCTCATCAACAGCAAACACCCACAATCCCTGACTACCTTTTGGATGCACCAACCGATCAGTGAACTTCTCCCCCTCTATCATAAACCTCTGCTCACACATAACTGGGACCAGTGCTCCTTATTCCTTAACCCCCTTATCCTCCAGGACACTGAACAGTAATTCTCACCTGGGATCAGCAACTTCCTACTGACTCCTGCTCACTTTATTGCTGGACTTCCTAGGCCTTCTGTTTTGGACTACTACGCCCCTACTACTCTGCCTTCTGCCCATGGTTACTCCTTACTACGAATGGCCTTTGAAACACATACACCCAGTGTCATGTGCAGGTGCACATATATAAGTGTATTTTTTTAAACTTGTTATGAGCCCTTCCAAACTGAGGCGACCTGTTCAGTCCTCTAGGTGATGGACAGAGAAAAAGACTTCTGTATAGCTGTACTAACAAACATTTAGGGAGAATTGGCAGTCCAAAGATTATGATAATGTCATTGTTATTATTCTGGTCATAATTAAGCATCCACATCTTGGCTTACAGAGACTCATTTTTACTAGACTTATTATAATTGCAGTTGAACAGTGTCAGTCCATTTTAAATTTCTGTTTATAATGTTTATTCTTGCATTCCTTGGCGTGAGAGCAGTCTGTATGGGGTGAAACGAAGATACTGTACACTGTGAGTCAAAGAGTGAGCTACTTTGGAACAGTGAAAAATATACTTTATTTTCTTTATACGTGTGTGGGTGTGGGTGTGTGTGTGTGTGTGTGTGTGTGTGTGTGTGTTAATCCTGTGGTATTTATACAGTTCATGTGGTACAACGCATTGACTTCGACAATACTGTTGTTCTCACTCTACTTCAGATAGATTTAGACTCACTGGAGGTTGAAGGTAAACTCAGACCTACCCAAGTGTAGGACCAGGGACACCTCCAGGGAAGTTAACAATGCTTTTGTGTCATGTCATCACGCTCTACACTCTTGACTCCATCACTCTATGTCTGCCCATCTTCCTTGCTCTCGTCACAAACTAGTAAAGGCTGGAGGCTTTTGAAATACTTTTTTTTGATACTGTATGTCCTATCCTTAAAAAAACGGATCAGGACTATTTAAATCTTTCTCAACATATCCACTAAGCTCTCCCCCAGGGCACATTATGTGAATACAGTTGAATCTTACAGAGCTGACAAGGTGGATGCAAAACATTCATTAAAAATCTCACCAAAACATTCATACATGCTCAGTTTACTAGCTTTCTTATGGGAATGAGGCCTTTAAAAACATGTGTCTATATGTTCTGGTACCCAAGCAGCTTTGTGTAAGCGTTGGTAGATACAGATGCAATGTTTTCTCCATCACCGACAAGGAACAAGTTTGAAGAGCCAGAAGGTCACAGCTAAATCTACTGTTTCACCACACGGTGGATTTCACACTTGAGCACTTTAATACGTAGATTTAAGACCTACACCCTCTTTTCATTCTGAACAGACCACTGACCAGTTTCCCACAGTCCATGTGTGTATGAGAACAAACGTTTGAATGCATTAAAAATTGATAAATGTACTCTGTCAATGCACCTTACAGTATCCCAATATGTCAGTTGCTTTATATTCTTCTCACTGCACATCTTTTTATTTCCAGAGGTTTTGGGGCTCTGTTTCTTAAAAAAATACTCTATCTCTGTAAGGCCTATGTCAGCATGTGATAATGTAACTCCGAGATGTTCACCTCGTGCACAGAGCAGGCTTTCTAATGTAATTTATCACTATTTATCACAATTGGTGTTTTGTGTCAAGATGACAACCTAGCATAGGCCTTATAGAGATTAGAGACACAAGTTTGGTTTGGAACGTTCAGCCAGGCACATGCAGTGTCTTACATCTGAGATGCCTTTTACAAAGCTTCATTTTCTCCAGGTACAAACTTGTATCTATCGCCACATAACACCAATACATTTTACAAAACCAACAATGTATAAGTCATAATTTCTGAAAAAAACTGTTCTCCAGCGTTGTCAGTGTATAAAGTCATGTAATATTCATGGGAATGGAGGAAAATTATATTTTGTCATCTTTTTTCTTTTGGGGTCATTTGTGACTGTATGCATCCATTTTGTGTCTTAGGGTTGTTTTATGTTGGACAGATTTTTTTTGTTGCTTGGTACACTAGCAATTACCTCAGTCCCACTATTTATGTCTTCAGAAAATGGCGCAACCAGTATGATTAGTGCTTATCAATTTTTTTTGCTAATCTTTTCCATGCAAGTTGTTGGGTTGTTTGAATATTTTTCCTTTTAAACTCTATGAAACTGTCATTAAAATGGTGTCATAGTAGTTTCATTATGTATTATATCTGTAACCAAAATCATTTGAAGGCCTGTTATGATGATAATGAAATTTTTAACAAACATTTGTACATTTTGTATGAGAGTTATTACTAGTAATACTTTATTAAGTAGTGCAATGATTTTTTTAATCCCTTACCCCGTCTTTTGGATTTCAAAAGCTGGTTCAATAATAAATGTATAACATCTTCTAAAACATTGTGTTTTCCAGTTATTGTTTCCTTACCTCCTCCTTTGCTGTTCAGTTTCTAAAAATCTAATTCTTGACTTAAAAAATGTCTTCTCCACTGAGGCGCTTAACACAGATGAATCATGTGTTTTAAGTCCATTTGGTGGCAGTGTAGTTCTGTTATCCAAGAGGCATACTCTTACACATACACCAGCTTCTGACCCTAGTGACATTTATTTGCTTGGTGCAAAATCCTTCATTTGTTACTTTTCTTTTCAACCTGTTAAAATCAAGTGCTGACAACAATTTGGCAATTTGACAATTTTCTATGCATTTTCAATAGATCTCATGTCATTTAAATACTTAAGTCAGAGGAAGAGGAGTATTGTGCTAATCTACTACGCATACTACACTACACGTGTTCAGAACCATTGGGGAAAGCTGTTCTCTGCGGAGAGAGATTTATTTATTAATTAGAAACGCCACATGTCAGTTGCTTTGTGGACAAAAATCTGTGTTTTGGGACCAAACAGCATGGTGATTCTGCACTTTAAATAAAAAAACTGATTGGTTGATTGATTCTATCCTCAACTATTGTCTCCGTCAAGAAATCAATGAAATGTATTCATCATTATACAACAATTCAATTTCAATTCAATTTTATTTGTATAGCGCCAATTCATGACAGAAGTTATCTCAGGACACTTTTCAAATAGAGCAGGTCTAGATCTTACTCCTTATAAAATTAGAGACCCAACAGTTCCCACCATGAGCAAGCACAAGGCTGTATAACAACATTAAAGTTTTCATGCTACACACATCAAAAAAGATAATCAAATTGATAAAATAACATAAAATATTTCTGAAGAAATTGCAGGTGTAAATGCTGACTGCTGAAAGGCTAACACTGAACTGAATTGCTGGCTTTAATTTGTGTGAAGTACTGGAAGGAGTATTCTAGTTGGACAAGTGGGAAAAAGTCTAATTACTATGAATGGGACTAAAAAGTTATAAATTAAATTATATATAAATTCCATAATATCTTCCAAGATGATTGAATTTAAGATATGAAGTACTTGAGTGTCTGCCTGCCTGTCTCTCTCTCTATCCGACTGCCTGCTTGCCTGCCTGTCAAACTGTGTTAATTAAGTTATCTCAATGAGCTGTGTGCTCCCAACTGCAATTGAAGGTTGCCATGGTGATGGTATCTGCTTAGTGACTCCTGGGTCAGAAGCTTCATTTCATAGAGATCTTAGCTGAGGCGCATCTGTGTGTAGGGTCAAAAATGTGACCAAAGGAGTAGCAGGGAGAAATTAAGTTTGTGTTTGCACTTAAAAAGGCCGTTAATGTGGCCGTTGGCTGGGACTCCTGTTGCTTGGAAGCTTATAAAGACAAAAGTCTGTTTCTTTCTGTAGTGACATGTCTGTGACTGGCACAAATGTTGCTACATTTTGATGTGCAAATGATGTATATGAAGTGAAAACTGGATGTGAGAGCCTGGTGAAGACCAGATTTATAGATGATTTGTTCCAGAGTCCATTCTCTGCCCTCTAGTGATGATGTTACCCACTCAATTCACACTAATGAAAAGGTCTCAGAAGGGCTGAAATTTTCAGGAATTTTAAACTGCAACTGAGTGAAGATATGAAATAGCTAAATTAATGCGAGGACGTCCTATTTGCCGTTAACGTTTTTAAATTTGAATGGAGTTTCGATGTATGAATGCGAGGGAAGAGATTGAAGATGTGGATTTGAAGGGTTTTCAATTAATTAATTAATATTTTGAAACGTTTTAGTGGGATTTGAAAGTCGATTGATAACTAACATGTCTGGAAGATGTGGAACATTTTTGAGTTTGAATGGAGTTTCTAGCTGAAAGAATGAATAACTAGTTAAGAGTTGAAGATTCATGAAAAACTGTGAATTCTGACTATGAGACCACAGCTCCACCTACTGAGCTATGCGGCCCCCCTCCACCTTTTCACTCAACATCTTAAACATTACCGAGCCATTCACTAATTTACCTAGTGAATTACCTAGCCTCAATTACCTTGCCATTTGCTAGGCTGGGGGGAGCCGGGGTTTGAACCACAGCTCTGCCTACTGAGCAATGCTGCCCCCCTTCAACTCCCCCTTCAACTACTTAGCCATTACTGAGCCAGTTACTCAATTACCAAGCCATTTACCCAATTACTTGGTCCTGTGGGGGCTATTTCTTTAAATAAAGCATACAACATATGATCTTGTCTTTCTGCAGAGTTAATTCAAGTCATCCATGAATAAATGCAACCCTCACACACCATATGTGAAGGCTCGAATGAGGGACGATTTGTCCCTGTTGGAGCGTCACTCAGTAAACAGGCAGGTTAACAGATAGTGTGGTGCAACGATGGGTCTTATCATGTCCCTGGATGTTCAGTTAAGTCTCAATAACCTGCTGTTTACGCGGACATAGAGTGTAGTTAGACCTAGCCAATTAATTAATTATTTATCATGTTACTCAATTACTTAGCTATTTACTCAATTGTTTTCTGAGTCATTACTTAGCCGCTTACTCTATTACTTAGCCGTTTACTCAGTTACCTAGCCAGTTAACCCCCTTTCCACAAAAATGGAAAACTGAAAATTGAACATTAGTATACTTCCTGTGCTGCTTAAATTATTTTAGTAGCAATGGACTACTTACAAAAGCACAGCATGCTTACAGCCCAGGTCACTCTACAAGCACCGCATTAGTACATTGACTCTTTTATTTGTTATTATTTAATTTATTTGCTGTTAAAAATGTTCCATTAAAAAGCCCATTGGTATTGCTTGTTCTATTAGATTTATTGGGAATCAAATTGATCCCATTTGATGCAGTCCAAACCATGATATTTTCTGGCTTTAAATCCTATGTGAATTGTTTTGTATTGATTTTCCAATAAATTGTAAGTATGCAGCAAAACGATACATTGGAGACTTCTGAGAATAGTAAAGAAGAAAATTTCACGTACCTGATGAATGACTGGGTGGATCTCACTCATGGACTTGTATGGACTGCATGTAATCAAGCAGACTCGAACTCCAGACAAATGAACCTTTCATGGGAGAACAAAGTCATTCCATCTCACAAGATTACATTTGTCTGGATCCAGAGTCGGCAGATGTTTGAGAATCTTAATCTGTGGAAGATATGAAAGGTTATATTTTACTGTTCACTGTCACCTACAGGACAAACTATATAGTAATCACTTAGAAGGCCTTTTTGTTATGTGATAGATGTGATATTCTAGCTTCAGTTTTGAGAAATAAACAGTTTGTGCTCTACCTCTTCCCGTGCTTGTTCAGTGAAAATGGGTTCATCTCTGGTTATTTTGAGGCACACCTTTGTGTTGGTTACACTGTTGGCACATATATTTACTCTATTGCAAAATTTAAGATCCAAAAATGATATTTTCAACTATAATACATTTACTTTGTCATGAAATTATGAAAAACTGTAACTTTATATAATACAGTTTCTTAGAAAGAAAAAAGAATTTGAAAGATTATCCATTAGTAAAAGGCCCAATCCTTACTTCATAACTTCTTAACTATTCTTAAAGCAAACCCAATGCGAAAGATGAAATACTAACTAACGGAGGAATGAATGAGGAAGTGTCTGTGTGTAGATTCAGCTGATGTGAGTTGAAGGACTGACCTGTTCTGCCACAGCTGGGTCTGTCTGTCTGTCCAACCTCACTGTGCTCTGGATCATCAGCTGCTCACATCTGGACACACAGAATGGAGCTCCTGTCACTCACATACCTGCCGCCGCTGCGTTCACGTGTGCAGCCGTTGCCATGGAGATACTCACCTTGAACCAAAACATGGAGAACTGAGTGCTCAACTCACCAGCATGATTATTACTGAATTACTTTATCGATCTTTGTGAGCATCGACTCAAAGTGATATGCATAGCCTTCTCGTAGACGTAATTCTTGACACTGAATTGGATAATTTGAACTAATCAAAACATAACGTTACTTTGGTGGCTAGCCGTTAAGCTAGCTGTTAGCTAAGGTTTCCTCAAGTGTTTCTGCAATATTAGGCTAGCTAACTTTAGCTAATTTAACTGCACCAAAATGGAGGCTTGTTGCCGCAAGAACAGGAGTATGTTAACAGTCTCCGGCTTGATTGGTGTTGCCCTGGGTAAGTGATGAATGAGTTAATGATTTTAATCAATGTCAGGTGAGCTACTTGCTCTCACTATCTTAACTGCTAAAGCTAGCTATAGCGAGCTAAGGCTGATTTTAATTTGCTAGATTTTTCTCTGTAACGTTAGGCTTTTTTAAAAACTAATGTAACGTTAAATAAGGACTAACATTAAATCTTTAAACAGTATAACACATTTATGGGACAAAAACCCGTTGCCACTGAGCTAACAATACAAATACGTTTTAGGGAAACAAATGTGAGCTGTCAAAGGGTTAATGCTGCAGATATATTAATAATAATTATTATTATCATTATAGTAATGATAATAACAACAACAATAATGTCCTAGTGCTTACTAAAAATGTGTAGTCACCCTCTTACATTTAGCTACAGTAATGCAAAGACAGCGTCCATACAGCCACAGTGACAGAGGAAGGCACGTCTGAGGTCATGTTGTGTAGTGAAGTTATAAACAAAAAACAAACAACAACAGCTCCTGTTAACAACCACTTTAGGTTCTTCCTCATCCTGCAATCTGAATATGGCGGTTCCGGAGCTAACGAGAGATACTGCATCTGATCACACCAGGTTAAACAGCACCATCTAGCGACCACATTAAATCACTGCGTCTGCTCTAACAGGGCACCAAGTACATTTCACATGCGCTCAGCTGATGTGAAGGTCTGGCTGGTGAGGTCTTGCTGCATATCCCTCTGTGCTGTGGTATCGTTATAAAACGAGCAGCATGCAGTCGCCTATAATGCTACTGTTGCTGGTCATTATGTTCATAACCTGCCCAGGGACTATGGATGAAAACGAGCTAACTCTGGCACATTTGCATTGAAGTGTAATGTAATGTTGATTAATGTATATTGTAAATAAAATAAATCTGCATAAATGTACCCATTTGTTAGGCATCGATGAGGAGCCTTTGTGTGAATGGATGTGCAGTAAGGATAGCATTAGAGAGAATTAATGTATTATCAGTTTGAAAATGGGTGTTTTTTGTTTGTTTTTCTTTTATTGTTGTGTTGTCCTGTCTGAAATATAGTCAACTGTATTGTAAAGGAAGCATGTTAGGAAACAGAATACTCAAATGTAATGTGTATCATTACATCACAATTCATGACAGACATAAACAACCATGAATTATGATTTAATATTGTATAGTATTGTACCTTTGCTTAGTGTAGTCATGTTGTGATATTATGCTTTATTTTTGCATTTTTTGCTCCTGTTAGATCTCCCTTCTCAGCCAAAAGTTGAACTTCTAATATTTCTACGTTACTGTCTCACAGGCATTGCTTTGGGCATGATTCTGAAGAAGTTCGTCACTCTGTCAAACATAGACAAAATGTACATCGGCTTTCCCGGAGAACTATTCCTGCGAATGCTTCACTTGGTTACCGTTCCTCTGATTGTGTTAAGTGTGTTAACTGGTAAGCCACAGCTGTATTTATCACTGTCAACTGTAACATTAGGTTATACGTGTTACACATTTAAAAACAAAATGATATACACAGCTGACATCAGCTTCTCACAATTTGACATAAATGAAATGATCCTCATATAGGGCTATAAATAACACACCCAGGCTCAACGCTGTACAGTAACTGCGTTGCCCTAACCTTAAATTTCATTGCAGTGATGTAACAAATATTTTACTGATGCTCTAACCTTCAGTCTTAAGACCTCAGCTCATGTTTTTATTTTTAATAGAAGTTTCTGGTATGCATACTGGCACCTCCAGAAAAATCTCCATACGTGCAGCGGTATACTTTGTCTTCACCACTTTTCTGTCTGTTACTATAGGTAAGAGGAACCAATTTGTCACTTGCTTTAGACTGTATTAAGTTGTATGAAGTCCATAGTTATACATGTTTTTGCTTCCTGTATTCGACCCTGGATTATGTTTTGTAGGATTAATCTTAGTAATGCTGATCAAGCCTGGGGCCGGTGATAATTCTCGTACAAATGTGATGGAAGATGACGACGATGAAACCTTCTCCACAGTCGATGCCTTGTTGGATCTAATAAGGTGAGCAGAAAGTGTTTTTTCCAGCGGCCCAGCCCGATTCTTACCACTACTGATTTCTCTGCATGTTTAGGTTTCAGTTTGCAGTTCATCAAGATTCGTAGGTCTGTCGCTAACATTTCAGAAAATGTAATCAAAAGTTTCAAAACACTTGTTTTTCTTTGGAATTGCATCCATCAGTGTTTTCTTGTCCTTTGTGAGATGTTTTATTTCTCTTCTTATTTGTCAACATTTGCAAGCAGGCTAATATTTTTACTTGCCAGTTCCATAATGGTAGATATGTTTGGTTGTTCTTTACTCTTTATAGGAATATGGTGCCACAAAATCTGGTTCGGGCTGGCTTTCAACAGGTATGTTTTATTACTCAGGTATGCAATATACGGACAAGACAATGTAATATATAACATGATTTCTGTTTCACCTTAATACCTTTAGTACAAGACTCTGCTGGTGGAGATTGAAATTGAAAAAGATGATCCCGTGGAAGCAGTAAACATCTTCCTCTTTTTCACTATGAAGATTGTTTTGTGAAGTTTACGTTCACTGGGATAATTGTTGATGAAGTTCTCACTGAGTTTCTCGTCCTGTTTCAGAAAATCACAGAAGTGCGTGTGGTGGGTAAACATATTCATGGACTCAGCACTGTGGGCTTGATCATGTGGTCCATCATTTTTGGACTAGCCCTCAGGAAGACTGGAGAAAAAGGGAAACGCTTTGTGGACTTGATTACGTCTTTGCATGAGGCCACCAGACACGTGGTCAAAATGACAGTAGGGTATGGTGAAACAGCATGTGTGTTCTGAAATTAAGGCTCAACCTCTGCGTAGTTGGATATAATATATAGTATTTAAAAAGTGTGGAATAAACTGAGACTATGCAATATTTACAGAAAGACAGCAAACATCGTACAGTATAAACAGTGTACACTTTCTTTCCAGCTTCTTGCCAGTGGGAGTGTTGTTCATGACTGCAGGCTACATTCTTGAGATTGGGGACAACTGGGAGACTATCTTCCAACTTGGAAAATTCATGGCAGTGGTTGTTAGTGGGTATGTCCTCTTTTGCACTTTTAGCACTGCCGCAGTTCCAAGTCCTTTTGCTGTTGTCAATAATTTTGTTTGTCACAGTGAAGTGTGAACATATCATGATGTCACCCACTGGTTTGTTGAGTATCGTTTTGAAGCCTTCGAGGTTGGCCCTTATGGCAGTTGCAATGTTGGTGTTTTGCATCCAGCAGCAGCTGCGCTCATTGGCTGTTCTTGGTTTCAACTCGTCCGTTGTAGGAAATGATGACGGCTTGCCTGGTAACATACTCGTATTACAGATAAACAGTACACTAAAATATGTTTCTGAAAGAAATGGAGAAATAGGCAATACAGAAACAGAATCTTGATTCATGTTTGATCAGCCCTGCCTAGTTTGACAGTTTGATCTGAGTTTGGTGTGTTACACACAGACTCACTAAGAATGATTTGTCAGTCACAAGGTAGCCACGCCCTAAAGTGTACCTTGCTTTATTGTCTATTTTACTCTAAATTGGATCATAATTTACTAAATAAAAATCATGCTGTATGGAAGAAGATTTGAAACGAGTCCATAAACCCATCAGGAAACTGAGGTAATAAATCAAGTACATTGCCAATACATTAAATCCAAGCAGGCCAACGGAGTCTCCCTCTGCTGGCAATTTCAAGAATGCAGGTTTAATGCATTTGTGCACTGGCTTCCCTATTCAGACCCAGAAGCTCCGTCCACTATTTATTATACAATCTATGCTTAGAGTCAGTATACACTGTGTAGTTTTTCCTCTTTTTCAGGCTTATCATTCATGGAGGAGTAGCCCTACCACTGATCTACCTTCTGTGTGTGAGACGAAACCCTTTTCCTGTCATTAAGGGGGTTTCTCCTGCCATAATGAAGGCCATGCTTATCTCACGCAGGTAGCAGAATTTGAGTCTTTATCTTTGTCTTGGCCTTCAACCCTGTAGTGTCACAGAAAAAAAGATTTAGATTGAAAGATATAGAAAATAGATGTATATTTAAGAACTAACAAAGTTATGCACTGTGTCTAGCTCTGCGTCCTCTATGACTTTCCGATGCTGTGAGGAAGTGAACAAGATTGACAAAAGAATCACTCGCTTCATGCTGCCGCTTGGGATCAGTGTCAACATGGACGGAACAGCCCTTTATGAAATGGTAGCGACAGTTTTTATCGCCCAAATCAACAACATGAATCTGAACTGGAGCCAGTTAATTGCCCTTGGGTAAGTCACAATCATATTGCATTCTCTGTAACTGTGTTCTGTTTCTTGTAATTAAGAGTTCAATGCAAGCAGCACACAGATTAGTAGAAGCAGGAATATTCAGATAAATGAGTGGCAAAATAAAACAATGTATCAGTGGATTAGTAGGTTGATGTCTTGCGGTTATTGTTAGTGTACAGTATTTTGCATCGTACATGTCGATAGAACATTAACTGCACATCCAATTAGCTCTGTGGCTACGATGCCTGACAGTTTGAGTGTGCAGAAGCAGGTTATTGATCCGTAGTTGGGTGGTGCAGTTCTGAAGCTGTGATACCATGACCTGCCACATGTTAGCCAGTCACAGTGGGAGCTTGCACAAGCTTTCTTAATTGTGCAGCAAAATATTCACAGTAGCTGCTGCTGTGTCATATTCAGTATGAACGTAGTAGCTGGGACTGTGAGTAGTGCTGCATCAGTGTCTAATGGCTGCTTCTCGCTACACTTCAGCTGACAGTAGTCTGTGGATCCCTCACTGGACTCACAACCTACACATGTTGCTCTGGTGTTGTGCTCAACATAATCCGATAATGTGGTAAAGTGTAACTAAACCCCTAAATTCAGCTAGCTCCCTTCCTCCCAGCCAATTAAAAAATGCAGCAGAGAGAATCATATAGCCTTGTGGCAGAAGGAAACAGTGAGCATTGTGACAAACTGACTACCGCTCAGGGTTCCAGGAATACAGCTGCTGGTAGTCAGAGCTAACCAAGCTAACCAAGTTAACCAGCCATGAGCAGCTGCAGAATGGAGAATGAGGATAATCAATCAACAACACTACTAATAGCTGTATACATTAGGTTTTCAGCTGAAACAAGTGGTGTGGGGGTTTAGTTCCTCTTTAAAGTTGGATATATGCAGTGCCTTCCTCTCTCACTTCAGCCTTCACATGTCCTATGATGCCACATGTTGCATGTTGGGTGTACTTTGCACCTACCCAAACCAAAAACCTGGGGAGGAGCGATACTAGAAAATAAACACACATACAGTATATACAAAATATACACATACATAAAAGGGTTTGATAGACAGCATGAAAAAAGTATGAACAATACATTGTGCTGTTTCATGTTATTGTGTCTTCAACAGTCCACTCTGGTGATCACTCTGTTTCCTCTGCAGTGCCACAGTAGCAGTGTGTGGTATAGGAGAATCAGGAATCCCAGCTACCGGAGCAATAACCACTCTCTTTATTTTGAACGTCGTTGGGATTCCTGCAAAGGACGCATCCCTTTTGTTGGTTATAGAATGGATGCTGTAAGTTTAACCTGTGTTTTTGGCAAGCATTGTCAAACATGTCAAACAGCTCAATGAAGGGAGAGGAGGACATTATTCTCCGCTCTGTGGTCTGTGTCTTTCAGAGATCGCTTCAACACTGCCGTCAACGTCCTGGGGGACTGCATGGGCGTGGCGATTGTTGAGCATCTGTCAAAAAAGGAACTAGAAGAAATCGACAAGCGAGGACAGGACACGACAAGGTAAACATTTAGTTGGACATACTGTTTTTTTTGTTTGTTTGTTTGTTTTTTTTGTTTTTTTTTTTACAATATATGAGCTCATATTAGATCATTTTAACCCAATATACGGACACATGAACAAGGCACAATATTTCAAGTAGATTATCAGAGTATGTGAGTGGAATGAGTCAGCTGAAGTTTAGCTAACTAACACTCCCTAACTCTCCAGATATGGTTCAATACCTGAGAGTGATAATGAGGAGTTCCAGGGTCATAGCAGCACCGCAGACCGCAAAAAGTCAGCTGCTCCGAGGAAGCAGCGGACGACCAGGCATGTGTAGCCTCAGCTCAGCAAAAACAGGATCTGAACAGGGCTGACTTTTATAGGGATCTCCTGAGTGCCAAAAATGTACTCTCTCTATTTGAGTTGTTATTCAGTTTATTTGCTATTACATTTATCATATTGTTTTTTGATTTTGTCAGTGCACTTTAAAATAAGCCCATTGGCAATTATTTGTTCATTTGATTTATTTCCTTTTATATCCTATTTTATAGTTTATGTTGATGTAATTCTAGTGAATTCAGTACAGTAAGGCACCTCAGAAAGTAATTCACTCCAAGGCAAGAAGCTAAAGAATGCTTAGCCTCATTTCAGCGTAAACATGGCTGACTTTGAGAATTCCTGAGGGTCACATAATGTACTCTTTTTCTACTCATTTTGTTATTATTGCATATTTTAGAAATGTTCTCTTGTACTGTTGACTTTGATTTGTTATTTGGTTTATTTGGAATCAAATGTAAAAGTATTTTATTTCATGCATTAGCAGCATAAACGGCTGACTTTTTGTCTTGAGTGTCAGACGTATCTCTTAAGGCTAAAACACACTGGGGCTGAACAGCCAGCATCAAAACATCTGCCCTATTATTTTCTGTTTTCCTATTATTATGTATAACCTAGGGCTGGGCGATAATTCGATCTCGATTCGGGATCGCGATAAAATTTTGATCGATTTCGATAATAAGCTTGGGACATATTATTCGATATCACATGAAAAAGTAAGCGCAACAACAACAGTATCAGAGTCTGCC